ACGTGTTTGAATGGTGGGGATTGTAGCTTGAAATCCTTCCTTTTATATATATATATATATATTCTAGGAATCACTCTTAGTTTTAAGTTTTTGAAAATGGTAAAATACAAAAACCTCCTTTAATTGTCATCTTCTAATGTTTTTGTTGAGTTAAAATAGGGTGATTTTAGTAATTTTGTATGTAAAATAATTTACAAAATGGTAGAATGGGTATTTGGAAAAAACTAGTGCATCGGTCTAATGTTTTTTGTTTGGAAAAGTGACGAAAGGGAGGTTTTTGTCAAGTTTCTTAGAAGTTCAAGGGAGGTTTTTATTAAAATGAAACTATAGGGGAGGTTTTTATGATTATTAAAAACTTCACGAGAAGTTTTTGTATTTTACCCTTTAAAAACAATAGAACTAATTGCTTCTCCAAGCATAAATCTCATTCTAAGAATGAATTTTTGGAAGTTTAAAGAAATTTATCTTGAAAAAAAAAAGTCATTTTTAACTCAAAACCCATTCTTTAAACAATAATTCTTTGAAGCAGAATTTTAAGCATTTTCTTTCTTAACTATTTAACTAAATATATTCAAGGGTAAATCTATGATGCCAAAAATTAAGGTATGACACTCGAAGAGTTTTGACCAATCAACCCACCCCTCCCCACCCTTTGAATTTTGATGAATGCCACTATTTGTTGCCACTTTTATAATACCTCTAGTAAATGTCTACATGTGTTGCACGTGATAATTTCAAATACTACTACTGATGATAATAATAATAATAATAATAATAATAATAATAATAATAATAATAATAATAATATTTTTATCAAAACCTATGTAACAAATACAAGTAATTGAAGCATAGTGTAATAATGGATTTGTTGCATTTAATCTAAAGACCAATCTTTATATCTTTTTATTTGTGATTTATGTAACTATTTGTAACTTGCAACTAAACCAAGCAATTCAATTGATTAACCCATTTCACAGACAATTTATAAGTATATTTTAATCCAGACCATTGAGTTGGCCAATAACCAGATGACCTTATTGGTTGAACTACTAATCTATTTGGTCAGGTCAATGGGGCATGAACAAGATATTAATTTTCTTGTTCATTTTTTTGTATTTTATCCATTCCCATCATTAATAACAACAATTTTACTTTTCATGCATATTTTTGTTAAATATGATGAATATAGTGTTAAAGGCATGCTTAAATTTTCTATAAGTTTTACAAAATTTTCTATATTTTTATTTTTATTATTTAATGTATAACATCTCAATAAGTTGATCTTCTAAATTAGGAGGCAAATGTGGTTCCAATTGATTTTTAAAACATTAGTTTTTTATCAATATTTTGGAATCTTCATTCCCTCTATTATTATAATCAATGTTTTTTCCTTGCATTTCTATTGTTTTGTAGATTGGGATTTGTTAAAATGATTGAATTAGTGACCTTTCTACATCTATTTTATTTATTTATTTTTTGGACTTTGATATTAAGTTTCAAGTTTTTTTTTATGCAAAAATTTCATATGTGCACAATTTCTACTTAAAACCATTTTAAACACAACTATCAATGCTAAACACATCCAGCATGTCTTTCCTTCACACAGTTTTATGGTATATAGTTTCCTTTCAAAACTTTAGAATTAAAAATCATAAACTATCAAAAGAAAGAAGGGAAATTCAAGTGTGGACTTAAATGCATGGTGGAACTCTCTCATAGGTTAGAATCTACTTTCATCTAAAGAAGGATGTTAATGGGTTGGCTGGTGAACCTGAGATCATATTGACGTATGTGTAGATATTCCTACACATTGGTTACTTTCATTAGTTTGATTCGGAATGGTAATGGGGCAGGGTGGGGACAAGGAACCTCTCCCTATCCCTGTCCCCATGAAAATCCCTATCCACGTCTCCATGGGGATCTCCACTCCTGATTCTTTATAATATCAACCATTATGTTTTTGTTTTTTATTTTATTTAAAAATAAAAGTAAAATAATTAAAATTTATAGTCCTATTAGAAAAGATTCAACCATATTTTTAAAAATATTGACATATAGATGTATGTGTAGATATATACATATATAAATGTATGTGTATATATACATATATATTAGTAGGGATCCCATGGGGTAGGGATCAAGGTCCAAGTGGAGTAGGGAGTGTTCTCCCCGTCCCGGCACCATCCCTGCCAATGGTGATGAAAATTTCCCCATCTCCATCCCTATAGGGGGAAAATCACCCCCCATCCCCGCCCCATTCGGGGAAAATCCCCATGGGGATCAGGGAAATTGCCATTCCTAAGTTCGATAAACAACCCTATCTAAAATTAATTATTGTTATTTTTGTATTATAAAAATTTATTAAAAGTATTATATAAAATATAGATGATTATTAATTCTTATATAAAAGAATTGTATACTTATCAAACCCTGGCATCGCACGGGTCCCCACTAGTATGCCTATACATAATCTTAATGGAAAACTCCCTACCTAGGGTTAGGGTTGGGAATTCAACAATCTGACCCGACTTAATCTCAACGTGGCCTAACCTCATAACCTGACCCGACTTGCACTCCCAAATCTCAATGACTTGATCATAAAATTAGAATTCAATACCAATACCACCAAGCTTGGCCCTTTGTGGAGACCTAAATCCCAAAGGAAAAAGGATGCAACACCCCAAAACCCTAATCCTAGTCACATTTCATAGAAAGCAATTCGTAATCCAATGAAATCCAAAATGCTCACATGTAAAATAGAGTTCAGCTTCGATCAGTGCAACGCCTGTTCGAACAACCTTTACAACCTTACATTGGAAATATCTTCATACTTATGTGCTTTATTTCATGAAGAGATATTCCCAATGCAAGGTTGCAAGAGGCTATTTGAAGGGTGTGAGGATGGACTTGCACTGACTGAAGCCGAACTCTTAAAATATGGACACAATTAGAGGCTGCCATGTAATCCAAAGTGGCATGGGCATTAATGGCTTCCAATTAATGCTCATGCCACTTTTTGATAATCAAAGTTAGGGGTGGATTCGAGCTGAGTCCAGTCGAATATTTGGCTATTCAAACTCGACTCACAAGAATAGTATCAAGCTCAAGTTTGATTCAAGCTAGAGACTTGAGCTCGAGCTTAGCTTAGTTCACAGTTTGTAAGTTCGAGCTCGATTATAAGCCAAGTTTTTTTAAAATAAAAAGTATATGTATAAAATTATTTGTTTATTTTTCAAACAAAAAATTAAGAATTATAAAACTTATTTACTATTACACATAAAAATAAAAATATTATTATATATAATAAAATTATTTATTATATATGTATGTGTGTATGTATGCATGTATATATATAAAAAATAAAAATTGTTTATTTAATACTGGTCTCACGAGTCTCACGAGCCGAATTTCACTAGACTCAAGCTCAAATTTGACTCGAAACTTGGTTTAAACTGAGTTAAACCGAACTTTTCACAAGTCGAGCCCGAATAATCCATAAAAGGCTCAGGTTATGACCACCCCTGAATTCTTGATAAATAACCATTTGATCATTTGATCTGGAATTCTTGATAGCAAATCCAATTGCATGAATGTCGAGTGGGGTGGGATAGTGTATCGCATGAATGTTTTTGTTTAGATGCCAATTTTTTTTTCCTTTTTTTATTGGTAAGAGAGCAAAACAAATCAACTGGTTGACCATAGGAAATGCCAAAGTAGCCGACCCCACTCGACATCTGGAATTCTTCGGCTTTACCGCGAAGCCGAAGAGGTGTCCCCACAAAAATCAATGTTCAGTTCTGTATGCAATCGGATGAGTAGTTGATAGTTGAAATTTAACATCCACCAATTGGTTGACCATAGGAAATTAAAGTACCGTTAATTGGTTGACCATCTACAATTTTTTCCCGTCAATGTCAATTGATAGGAAGTTAGAAACTCTCCCTCATGTTAAAAATGCAAGTTCAGGTCTGTTCAGACTTCAGAGAGGTCGTTTTCTTCTATGGCGACTGCTCTAATCCTTGATTCCTTCCTAATCTTTTTGTTTAGAGGATTGCGCTTCATCAGTGACTCGTGTTGTATGACCTGATTACACTTAGAACTTAACAAGGATTTCACTGGAAAAGTGGAAATCTTCTTTCTTACCATTATGCATATGCTTCCATCACAGAGATAAGTTGCCAAGGATGCTATGTTGGTATAATTGCAGACAATTTAATAGGGATCTGGTACAGCTTTTTCTTTTATGTTCTTTCCCATGAAGGGCAGATCATTGTTGTTATCCTATGGTGTACAAAAAACTTCTGGAATGGGCAACAAAAATCAAAAGAATCAGCCTCCTACAATGTCCCATAGCACATTCCCGCCGTGTACTGGGAATATCTCCCAATGATGACATCATCATTCTTGGTATTATCATCAAGAGATGTTTTCAATACACGGCGAGAATATGCTGTGGGACGTTGTGAGGGGCTGATTTGAACTCAAATCTAGATCCTCCTTGGCCACGGGTTCTTGAAATGGTGTACCATTTTGATTTTTGAGTGCAATATACAGTTGAAAGTTTGAAACTAATCAATCGGGAGATCAAAAATCAGCCCCCCACAACGTCCCACAGCACATCCCCACCGTGTATTGAGAACATCTCCCGATGATAATATCAGAAATGATGATGTCATGATTGGGAGATGTTTCCAATACATGGCGGGGATGTGCTGTGAGACGTTATGGGGGGCAATCCTGTGGGGGGATTATTTGAACTCATCAATCGGTTGACCATAGGAACCCTTCAAGTCCAGAAACTCATTATGTATTTGCATTTTACAATTTGAAGATGAAGAAGACATTACATTGCCGTTAACACGTAGTAGAAACCTCATTTTCCTTCTCCAAATGAAGCACTTCTCCTTTCTATGCCCAAAAATGGATATTATTCAAAAAAAAAAAAAAAAGATCGTAACAAAATCCAATTTTTGAATTGCAAACTCTTTGCTGGGAGACCCTGATAAAACCCTTACTTTTACAAATATATATAACCCCTACGAGGTTGATTGTGAATTTATAAGATATTCTCTTTACCTGATCACATGGTGCAACAAAATGACTTAGTTTAGACAAGCAAAAGCTTCTTCAGTACAAGCTGGCAGTATGCATTCAACAGCTCACCATGTCACTATTTGGACTGAATAAAAATGTCAGAACACAAAATGAAAGCTGGGCGCAAGTAGCTCAGCATCGCCTTATAATACTAACAATGTTTCTAGCAATTTCTTCCTTTGCCTCTAAAGAAACAGGAGCATCCCCAATATACATGTCAAAGAAAGCTCCTGCATTAACATAAGTTAGAACATCATTACTTTCTTTTGGGAGAGGGAATCCTACTGTGACCTCATGAAAAGATCAGATGCTCAGTCTTAATTTGTTAGCAGGCATAAAAATGGGAAACCAGCGCAGATGCACCCCCCTCCCTTTTCTTTTAACATGGTTTCAATCAAGCTGGGAAATCAGGTAACCCAATGTGATCTCCCGGGTCACAATAGTACTCCTCTCTCCCCAAATTAAAAAAAAAAAGGAATATAAAAAGATAGATAATTTCTCATTTTTCATTTCCAACTTATTGAAAATGTGGAATGAACTCTGAAGTGGTAAAAAATGATTTATAGACTGATGATTTAATAGAAGACATGGCTCTTGACAGTGTCTACCCAAAACTTGTGTCTCAACTTACAGTAAATACAACCTAAAGGCTAACACCAGTCTGGGTGGTTATACAATTCTGAAGGTTCCAAAAGCATTATTATAATGGCAACCAGGGATGATCAAATCCAACTGGCCTACATTGCCTAGCCTACCCCATCTAGAAATTTCTCAGCCCAGACATAAATCTTTCATCCAAGCCTGGAACAACAAGGACCATCAAAGCCCACACACAATGTGGGGTAGGCCCGATGCTTAAATCTAAGGCCCCAAAAACCCAGGCCACCCCAGATTTAATATATACAAATTTTCATTAAAGATTTAATTTAAACATATATCGTTATATTGTGTGTCTGTGTTGATTTACAAATCTAACCCAATTTAAATTTCTAATAAGAGAACAATTGTGATTTCAAAATGAGAACTAGTTAGCAACTGATAAGATACACACACACACAAATGAATTTAAATTTTAGTTTTGATGTTGTCATAGGTTAAATGCCTTAATGACCTGTATGGGCAAGCCCAGATACTCAATCAGAGCAATAGGAGCGGGCTTGGGCATATATTATTGAGGTCAAGAGTGTGGGCCAGTCTGGGCTTGGGCATCTCAGAGTGCTTTTGCACCTCCATCAAAACACAGCCTAGCTCATGATCATCCCTAGCAGAGTAAAAAATAAATAAACAAAAAGGAAGGGAAAGAAAAATCTAACTTACTGCACAAGTCCTTGCTATGAACTGATCCAATCTGTTTTCCAGCAACTGCAAAAATAGATATGCTCCATAAACCAAGAGATAAAATGCTTATAACTTCAATGCTGACAATTCAAGTATTCAACTGGATGATCTAAGATGATCCTGTCTTATAGACAGTGAAAAAATGGCTTAGAGGTATATGATTCTTAAAAAGGTGGGAATAGAGGAGATCCTCCATAAATGGATCCCACTTTGAAAATTGACCAGATTGGATAATCATAATACATGCAACTTGGAACCCATCATCCTATTCCTTTCCAAAATCTATACAACCAAGAGATCATTCCTTGGTTGTATGAGGTAGTTGCGCATGCACTATTTCTGATATGCAAAAGTGTATGCTTTTACATGCCAGATTTTTTTTTTCCTTCTATAATTACTCACTTTCTGTAATTAGCTGGCCATCAGCTGTTTGTTGAAAATCAATTGTTGTACCCTGCAAATTACAGGATTCAAAATGAAAACAAACCCTCGATGATTTATCAAAAATTAAAAAAAAAAAATGAAATGGGAGGAATATGAAGCATAGCTAAAGACATTTTACCACAGGTAATGAGATATCATGAACAAAAAATGAACCAAATGCTCTCAAGCAGTGAAAATCAGTGTTGGGGTTCACCTAACCAGTAAACAAGACAGTCACCAGATCATGTTAGGTTGACAGGATCGTCCAAAATATATGTTAAATTTATATCCGCAGAAAGGTTACCTTCATCAACCGAGCTCGGAGGGATTTCTCAAAAGCACTAGAAAAACAAAATAAACAGATATAATTAGGAAGAAGAGGAGGAAAAGGAAGAAACTGAAACACGTAAATTAGATAAAACATCAATTTTCCTTATAGTCATTATTTGATTCATGTGCAATTTATATCCAGACTTCAGAAACTAACTAAATACTATCAGCTCTCTCCAGAGGCAAGCCAAACATGAAAAAGATGCATGTTTCCTCTTCAATGCAATTAGAACATGCAATCCAATTTGAAGGATTCATATAGTTAGCTTCAGTGTTTTAAAACGTGGAGGTGTGACGCAAGGCGTTTCACTACCTGGAGGCATGAGGAGTAGTTCAGAACATAAGAGGCATAAGCCTCCCAAGCACAAGGAGGTGTAAGCCTCCTTAAGAGGAGGGGGGTGACAGATGAGGAGGGAGGAGGGAGGAGGGGGAGGAAAGAAGGAGGATCTCATCTTGTTTTTTCTATGAAAGATGCCTTATATTAAGGATATAAAATTACAGCTCTTTTTTGTATATGCAAACCTTTTTGTAAAGCAGGGTTTGGGGGTATGGGACTGCATGGGCAATGATTTTATTAAGAAAATAGAGTAGGATAAAAATAGGCCCCCTGAAAACAGGCCCGAGACCCAGATTACATTACAACTCAAGAAGACTTCTAGAGATCAGCTGGGCTCCAAACTCCCTGGTTTGGAAACCTTTTATAGATGCGGTCCAAGAACCACTTTTCCAAAGGAATTAGAAATGAGGCTGTCTACTTCTTTGGCCTTGTTATGGAACACTCTATTATTCCTCTCCGCCCAGATAGTGCTGATCACTGCTGCAGGAATTGATCTCCATACACTTTTGGCCAACTTGGAAAGCTTCAAACAATCCTACCACCATATCAGATCCAACCTTTTTCTATTGATATGAATACTAAACTTTACGTTCTCTTGAAAAAAAATCTAAAAGCAACTTTGCTCCGAGTTGGAATATCAACTTCCATTTTTGGCTGCTGAATGCTGAGAGTTATTACCTAGTAGGCCTCTTTGTGATGATAATAAAAAGGGCAGTCCAGTGCACGAGGTTCCTGCCAATGCGGGGTTGGGGGAGGGACAGATGTACGCAGCCTTATCCCTGCACATACAGAGAGGCTGTTTCCAAGATTTGAACCCTGGTCACCCAGGTTGCAATGGAGCAACCCAACCGTTGTGCCAAGGCCCACCCTCCCTCTCTGGGATGATAATATCAAAGGCAAAAAGGGCCTAATCAGAAATAAAAAAATTTGAATCCCTGATATAATGTATCACTCACCACAAGCCCCAATGCATTGAGCATGGTTTAAAGATGGCCTAGAAGAGGACTTTTATGAACATTGTGGCCATTGGCTCTGCCATCTGTAAACTGTCCAATCTATCTCACCACTGGGGGGAAACCTTGATAAATGCCACTATACATGCTTGTAAAGAGACTAAGGCAACTAATCAACTGACCTGTCTTTGTGCTTATGTAAATGAGGAATTAATTTTGTATTATCCATATCTTTTAACTGAGCTAGCTAGGATCATTCATGACAATGCTAGATGATGTACACATTTCAGGCTAATGTCAGAGAAGTAGACAAGTAGTTGGTAATCTGATACAGGAATTAAGGGTCAGAGAAGTGAAAACAAGGATAATCAACTGGGCTTAATGCTGGAGTTTAAGGATGAAATTATGCAGCAGGTTGTTGTAAGCAAACCATCTTAAAAAGGATGAAGAAAAAGAAAATAATGGGTCCATAAGGAACGGTGTCAAACTGGAAACAGACCATACAGCCTTTATTTATTTAGACAGACAGAGGATGGATCTTTTAGGATCTTTTCTTTCTTTTGATTGAAGATCTTTAAGGATCGTAAATTTAGGGCTGCAAATCGGATTGCTCGATTTGAAGATTTTCAATCACACCGGGCTCAGGTTAGGGTTCAGGCCCATTAAAAATCTAAGAAATTCCCTACCCAACCCAAGTTGCACCGCTACTTAAAATATGTGATTTTCAAAAAAAAAAAAAAAAGAACTAACAATACTTACAAAGAAGAAAACACATTTAAAAAATCTCAAGGATCTAGAGTAAATATTGAGGATCCTCCCACCATTGGTCACCACAAGTTAAGAATTCAATCAAAGATTTGATTGAAAGAATCAATCCATATCATGTTTAGCTTCACAAAAGCCACACAAAAACCTAGAGAAAGTACAGGTTTAGCTTCACTTTTGTCAGCTTTTGGGCCTGCATTACAGACTGTAATTCCTTTTTATAATAAAACAATCTATTCTAGGTTCATTCCCCTTATTATCAACCCCAGTCCACCCCAAAATTCAACTCTTGCTATAATGTCATATCAATCCAAAAGAGAATTTTATAAGTGTATAAGATTTCAAAGAATTAGTAGAGCAAGCAAATATAACTTACTCTCGAACAGTACTGAATTTCAGTCCATTGCAGTTGACCACAAGCCTAACAGTCATATGAATATCTTTCCTGCAATATTCTCACAAAGACCACGTTAAGGAAAGGCCAAAATCTAACTTGTAGACAATGTGCAAAAGAAAACCCAAGTTCTTTCTAAAGATGCATGAAAAGTAGTAACAATATTTGTTTTGCAAGTCATTTGAAACTTTACAAAAAATCTAAAGCATTTTCTCAAACAATACCCCACACTCCAGGAAGCATAGTTTTAGACTGTCTTAGTAACTAATCCAGTAAAAAATTGCACTGGCATCAGACCACTTATCACAAAGTACACCTCAGAGATATAATTCACATGAAAATAACCAGTACAGTAAAGCATATTTAATCACTACATTGTTATTCATATTGGAACAAAATATATGAACAATATTTTTTAGCTTAAGGCCTTGAATGCTTCCAACCAAAAACATTGCTAGCATTTAACAAAACTACAAATAATTTTAAAAAATTAGGAAAATAAAAAGAGAAAAAAAAAAGATATAGAACCAGAAAGCCTAGTCAATATATACCCCACAAATGACAGAAAACATGGCTACCTATTAGGACTATAAATGACTACCTTTATTAGGCCTATAAATGACAGAAAATATGGCTTTTAACACAGCGCAATAGCAGGACAGTATTCATGTATATCCCTCAAATGAATCGTATTAAGGATGAGTTGAGTTGTGTTGAGTTATACCTCTGGCTATGAGGCATAACTCCCCTTGACAGAGCAAAGTTACAATTAAATGTGGTGTAACTCAACTGGTAGCATGGTATATCCCATTTGCATATAATCAAGATATCATTACCAGTAACATGGATTTCGAATATTTTGGATGCATTCCCTTTGAAAAGAAATCTTCTGTTTTTCTAAATTGACACTGCCATAGTGCCTCAAATTATAAATTCAACTTTTCAATCTTCAATGAAATTTTGCTTTGTTTAATTTTGAATGGAGCCAAAAGCACTAATAGAAGACTCAATTGTTGATAAATGATAGACACCCCACTAAATGTCATTACTATTTTGGAAAGGCAAAATCTGCCTGCACATAAACTTTTTTTAAACAGATTGTAGTAATTAACTTTAGAGGGAGAGCATTGATGTAACAGTTGGGTTACTCCATTGCAACCTGGCCACCTGGGTGACCAGGGTTCAAATCTTTGGAAACAGCTTCTCTGTATGTGCAGGGGTAAGGCTGCGTACATCTGTCCCTCCCCAGACCCCACATTGGCGGGAGCCTTGTGCACTGGGCTGCCCTTTCTAGTAAGTAGTAATTAACTTTTATTATCATAAAATGGATTTTCTTTGGGCTCTCACAGATGTACACTGCTAATAAAAAATGATATGTGTCCAAACCAGCATATGGATATAAATGACTGTGGTTTTGATGCTTTAATCACTATAATCTCTTCTTTTTTATTTTTTAATAAAAATCCTTCACATATTAAAAAGGAAACAGGACATGAGATCTAGCAATAGGATATTCTTTTTTGTTTTTTTTTTACCAGCAACAGACAAAAGAATTTATTAATTAAATGAGAACAAAGTTACAACAAGAGGTTGCAACTCAAGGAAAGTCCTTGTTACTCATGGAATGACTCAAATTTTAAATTTTAAATTTTAAATTGAAGAAATCATAGATTAATTTGGAAAACTAATTGCTGTGAATTAGATTATCAACCAAAAGTTCTCAAATGCTCCCAGGGTATCAATACAAAGAATACCTGATAAGATCCTCAAAAAATTCCGGCCGGTTGTTCAATTCACTGACTGACATAGAAGCATATTTTGGACCCAGTTCCTCACAGACAGAATCAGGGTTAACATCTATAAGAGAAAAACCAACCAAGAATAATTTGATTATTGGAGAAACATATAAAAATCAACTTTAGTAAAACGTAGGGTGAAAATTTCAAACAGGTGCACTAAGCTACAAAAAAGTTAAAAAGAAAACTATCACAAAATAAATAAAAGAAATTAAAAACAAAGAAAATCATCACCATTATGCTCTTCATTCCAGCTAAAATTAAAATACTAGAAGTTAAAAACATCAAGCAGAATTGATTTTGGTTTTAATACTAGAAGTACTCACAAAAGCCAAATGCATAAACTTTCAGAGATTTTATTTTGACAATTGTCATAGTTCTGGAACCAGTTCCAACAAGGACCTGAAATGCAAGTGGATGTTACTTTATAAAAAACTGACAACACACCAGAAAAAAAAAAAAAAAAAAAATCAAAGAAACCAGTAGCATTTGGGGTGCAAATGGGATTAAATAAAGAACCACCCAAAAAAATGTATCATCTGCAAATTTGTATTTGCTTTATAAAATTCACATGTATTCTGTTAGTCATCCTTTCAAAAAGTGCCCCTTATATAGCGCTCATGGAGGGCCATCTACTTAATCACCAAAATGTTTTTTACATGATGCTCGTAGATAGTTTTATATTCTTAACTTTTTGATATTATGATAATAAAATAAACATTATGAAACTAAATTATTCAGTTTAAATTAACATATATACTTCTTTGAACCCATCATCATTTCTTTTCTTTTCTTCTTTTCCTACAAAAATAGAGGCTCAATCCCTCTATTTTCTGAAATTTATTTTTTCTTTCTTCTATTTTTTCATGAATATGTTAATTTTCTATGTTTCAAATGAATCTTATATATTTTTTTATGAAACCTAAGGAATTATCCTAGGATTCATGGTTTATTTGGAAAAAAAAAAAAAAAAACCCTCACCTAGGAGGCTAGGAAACAAGTAATAGTGAAAGATAGATTTTATTAAAAAAAAAGCATCACCTAGCCTCACCTCAGCACCTTGAAAACCATGCATCTAAGGTTCACTGCCTTACTTTGACAATCAAGAAATAAAAAGATAGCTTAACATGTGGAGCAATGAGTTGACTTGGTGATTTGGTTTCAATGTGTTCACATAGACACAAGTGAAAAAATAGAGATTGCCTCTAGGGTCTGCTACATTACTATGACAATTTAGAAACACCAAGGTAGCCTAACATGTTGAACAATAAGTTCACACAACCACAACACTTTCATGTGACCTTCCAATGAAACACAAGCATGTTATCAACCAAATGAAAAGAAAAATCATTGAATGAGTGCATGCCTAGGTGATTTGGAACCCTACAATAAAATACGTGCTACTCAAACGAAAAATCAAATCACCCAACAAGTGATACAAAAACAACCCACTAACATATAAAAAATGGAGACTACCTCTAAGGTCTACTGCCTTACTATGACAAGCAAGAAATGCCAAAGTAGCCTAACATGTGTTGTCATGTGCTCACATGGTCACATACTTTCTCATGACCTCCCAATAAAACACTAACATGCTAACAATCTATAGAACAATCAAACCACTCGATGAGTGCATGCATGGGTGATTTGATTTCGATGAACTCATGTGGTTACACTTTCTTGTGATCCTCCAATAAGACACAAGCTTGCTAATAACCAAATCACTTTATGAGTGCATGCAGTGATTTGGTTTCAAAAATAGAGGCTCAACCCTTCTATTTTGTGAAATCTCTTTTTTTTCTTCCATTTTTACATGAATAAGTTGATTTTCTATGTATTAAACGAACCTTATACATTTTTATGAAGATTGATGGTGCTCGATCTTGCTCTGATTCCTCTCTGGAAAACAGCTTGGACATGAGTGTGCTGAGGTTGGCATGCTGGATTTGTAAGACAGAGTAAGTCAAAATACCCGGGGATTTGGACCAGGCTAGGAACTTCGACGCTTTAGTTAGCCGAGTAGTAAGCAATGAGAAAGCAGGGAGAGAGAGAGAGAGAGAGGGGGGGGGGGGGNGGAGGGAAGGAGTGAGAGCTAATAATGCACGAGTTCGCGTGTACCTTGTGAAGGTTGGAGGTCCCTTTATATAGACATCAGGGCTCGAGTGGCATGTCTGAGATATCCGGGAACGATAAGCCTTATCAGCCCGTTATCTTTAGGGCATGTCGCACCGACGTTGTGATGATCCTCATCTAGTTTCTCACAAAGTGAACAAAACCGGGCTCATCACTGCCAGGTAGGTGACGTGTTGTCATGTGCTTCAGAACCAATAGGTCAGGTGAGTGGATAGGGTTGGACACGTCACGTAGGTCGGTACCCTAGAGGTCAACTAACCATGCAGGTTGTCAGTTGCCAAGGTTGGGGCAGATAGGTCGATTGCCTACGCCTTCGAGGTGGTGTGCTTCGGGGTGTCGCTAAGCGGTCTATAAGTCTTCCCATTGGTCAAGGTCTAATTCATAGAGGCCGGTTTAGGCCGGCCTAGCCGGATGAGGTCCAGCCACATGTGGCACCAGGTGTCATTAAATGGTTCGGACTTGCCACGTGGCGCAGCATTACTAGAGGGACAAATCACCCCTCATCAAAGATTAAGACAATTAATAGTGAAAGATGGTTGTTGTTTGCTATGGAACCTAGGGAATTACCCTAGGATTCATGATTTTGATTAAAAAAAAAAATCTCATCACCTAGGCAACTAAGCGACAAGGCGCCCCCTATCACCTAACCTCACCTTGGCACCTTGAAAACTATGTTTTATTATAAGTGAGAAGTTAAAAGCTAGTAGTCAATTACTAAAAGACAAATTCATACATCATCAAATCCCCATGTTTGGATTATAATCATGACTTGGTTAACATCCACATTGGCATCCCTCCTGAGTCCTAACCCTACTTGGACACTAAGAAGTAAAATTAAACTTTCAAAAAACAAAATCATGCACCATCAAATCCCCACATTTAGATGATAATTATGTGTTGTTAACATCCCCATAGGCATCCCTCTTGACCCTAATTGGACTCATCGTCATCTAAGCATTGTCCCAACTCCCAACTATATGGAGCCAGCTACATGAATTTTGTTCTCCCATTCTGTTCTACTCAGTACCATCCAATGTTAAATTGTGGGCCCTTAAATCATTTCTCACTCTATTGTTCTATGGACCAACTTCCCCTATTGTACCCTGATCTGCACTCCTATTATTAAATCTACAATTGCATATATTCTGTTTTACTCCTACTATTATTAAAACAATGCCACCAGAAAATTAAAAGCAGGAGTAACAGTAAAATTAATTGGTATAGGATTCCAAGATGCAGTAGAGGCAACGAAACCCCAAAGCTTTGGAAAAAAATGATAACATCAGATATTACTATTGTTCCAACAAGAATGGGTGATCACTTATATACTATTAAGTTTTATAAATTGCACATGCAAGATTTGAAATTTTTCTATAGATTTACTTATCAATTTAACTCCTTATACTTTCTAGTCAATCATCCGCATTTCAAGTCATCATTCAATATAATAGGTGCCCATGCTGCAAGTCAATGTCTAAGACCTCATGGCTAGGGCACATAATGGAAACAAATTTTCATCCAAATAAATCATAAATACCAGTGAAAGAAAGTTTTCAAAAGCACAACCAACCACAAAAAGATGAGGTTTCAGCTTGCATAATCATTATGATCATTTATATGGTGGTTGTTTGACCATGTCGCAAAGAAAACCTCAATAACTCATAGAAAGTCAAATGGTGGAATGCAGAACAGTAACCTCAGAAGGCAAAGTGTATCTCTTTTCCCCAGCTAGAATGTTGTCTAAAACTGTAGGGAACTTAACGCCTGTTCTTGGCTCAACTGTATCCCTGCTCCAGTTCATGTCCAGAAAAGAAAAACCAGCACATCCTTGGTGCTCATCTGCACAGGATCTTTGATTCATGTGCCCACTAATTTCTACATCAGTGTTCTCCACTGGGACATTTAGGACCTTTGGGGATCTTGAACCAGAAGAAAATGTTAGAGTAGGAAGCAATTGATATGGAAAACAGAGAAATAATATTACTGAACTCCAGCATACACTCTCATGAAGATCTATTTACTGCTTCATGATCAACAAGGTTGCATGCAAAAAACTAAAGCTCAATTGCTTGAATGGATGTTAGATATCATGTTTTCATCCATTCTAAAAGGCACAGGATATTCAAGGAAAAATCTACCAACCATAACAAGGGATCTATGTCATAGAAACAAACACCTACCATGCAAAGATGAATAACAGGAATGAACTTAAGCAGATTAAATGGCTGGCAAGCAGAATGAATGTAAAGATACAATGGGTACAAAGATTTGCAAATGGGTTGGCTGGTGCTCTAGCCAAGCAAGTGGTCTACAAAAATCAGTTGTATTGGGCTTGCTTGTAATCTGTTTATTTTTGTAGGGTTAGGCCGTTAGGGTAGTAGTCACTACCCTATCCAAGGGTTACTTTAATTGCCTTGTAATATTGCTGATTTCCATTTATAAAATTTTCTCAGTTCATCATCATCGTCGTCATCCAAACCTTATCCCAACTATATGGGGTTGGTTACACGATTCCTGTTTTTTAGTTATTTATCAAAAAAAAAAGAAAAATAACAGGAAAACAAACAAGGGCAAGAAAAGACCTTACAAGCTTTTGTCAAATGGTGGTACCAAAGCAGCAGCTAGCGAGAACACAGAAAAGGACTGAAGCTGTTCAACTTCATTGCACAGGTATCTTATTTTGGAACTTACTGTCCTATCAAAAAACAAAGGAAAAGCAGCTTCTCTTGATCTAGAACTGAAGTGCAGTCTAGCTGGATTATGTCTACAAGAATTTACGTGCTTGACTTGCATACAGGATTTACAATTTCTACGTTTTGATCCATGCAGACTGTCCGATACATTGTGATAAACATTGGAACTTGATCCACATGAAAACCAGAAAAATAAAGCTCCAGCAAATTTCGCAATGCAGTCAAAAGTTCCTTGAAGTGCTAAACTTCCATGGAAATATAAGCATCTGGACTGATAGAGAGAATTGTCAACGAACAAACCAATCTTGGACAAATAATTGCCCCCAAAGCTTTGAAGAACAAGGGGATCCACAGGAAAAATGTATTGAGATCCTTCATCAAGATCCATAAAAAAGGACCAACTATTCCACATGGTTTGTTATGTGCCGATTAATGCTAAGCTTTAGAACAAGAAACTGCCAGGAAGAAGGAAATCCATGAAAAGCTCAACATAGTGACTGAATACCTGTAGAACAACAGAAAGAACATATACATAATTTCATGCATCCATGCATATCAATACAAGATTGGAGTGCTCAATGATCGATAACAATACTAATAACAATAACAATGACAATAAATAATGGTTACAACAATATGAGGAATGCTCAATAAAATTAGGCGGGGACGTATACAACTTTTTGAAGCACAAATTGGTGGAATTTATAGAGATCGTACAAAGAAGACCAGCGTCATATATATTTCACAAGTAAGGTCAATACATTTTCAGGAGTCCGTTACTCAGCAGAAACAATGTTCAGAAAGTCCATACCAACCGGCATTCTGTTTATGCATTTACTAACTCCAAAATTTTGGATAGAAAGAGTTTGTTGAGGGAGAATAATAGGGTTCCCGCCAAGCTAGTACTTTGGTTTCTTGTGGCTATGAATTGTATTATACTACCTCATTTATTGACACTCCTATGAAAAATTTCAGCCTGAACGAAAAACGTGCATTATCTTTTACTCATTAATAGGATGTTGGAATCTGGAAAAATCCCATTACTCCCAAAGAAAACAGAGACATTTGATATGTGCAATAGAGGAAGAAATTCCATAGTTATCTGCAATTGTCCAAAATAAAAAACATCAAAAGAAAATCAATATCTCAACAATTCAACAGACAAGCAACAACTCCAGGCAAAGAAAGTAGTAAATGATTTAATCTACTAGTGGTGCAAAACAGGTTAAGTGATTCACGAGATGGGAAAAGCCTAAGTTAATAGAAAATCAAGAATTCCCAAGTTGTTAAAGAACAAAGCTTAGCTGCAGATACTGTACAAAGCTTAAACAGCACTGTAACTAGGTTGAATTCATTAGTGCACGAACAGTCAAATCGATTAAATGCTGATGATCATGAAGATTCGAAGAAAACCTCGAACAACGTCCGACGGGATTCCACGCGAGATCGAGAGCTTCCGCATAGAACCTCGATAGTGAAATCGAGCTTTTTGGTGGAAAATGAACGCGAGCCGCGAGGAAAGTGAGGAGGGAGTCAGGGAGAGATGAAGAGAAGGTGACGGAAGGAATATACTTTCTCTCTCTTCCAGGTCTCTTTTACACGGTTTTTTCGTTGGGAAGGTATGGTCTGCCGTCCGTGTTTATTTGTTTATAGTTTAATTACTTAAATACCCCTAGTCCGTGTTTATTTGTTTATAGTTTAATTACTTAAATACCCCTAAGGTTTCATTCATAGTTTTTGCCGTTAAATGGGACAAAAAGACTATTTTGCCCATAAGTAGTATTCTCAAAATTTCAAATGACGAACCACTCTTGAATTGATTGCACTTGCAGAACGTAGGCGAGGTTAGGAGTGAGTTCGCGGTGGATGAGCGGAAGACTTGTCATGAGTGAAATTATTTAGTCTCAGTTTGGAAAAAGTATACATACATATAAAAGATAAAGTTTGCACTCTACAAATTTGTATTTATGGCTCTATTTGGAAGGAGTATAAATATAAATATGTAGAATGCAAAATCTTGCATTTTATATTATTTTGTATGTATTTGTATTCCTTCCAAACTGAGCCTATATATTTATACTCTTTTCAAACTGAGCCTTAAGTAATGATGATGAGATACAATTTGAGGTCCAACATTCATCAAATAACAAAAGTAGTGAATTTTGTTTTTTCATATTGCTTAGTTTGGAAAGAGTATACATACAAATATGTACAGTGAAAATGCATACAAAATAATACAAAATATAGGGTTTTGCACTCTACACATTTGTATTTGCACTCTTTCCAAACTGAGTCCACACAAGCAAAACAGAATAGAATATCAGTTGTCTTTTTAACATGAGTCCGATCTCGTGCCTACGGCTACCCAAAATACATTACCCCCAATGAATTGGGAACATCTCCCCCTGCATAATACTATGTAAGAAGATGAGATATTCTCCATGTATGACAAAATAGCTGGGTTCTAATCCAGCTATAGCTTAAAAAACCCAAAACCTTTTACTCGAATTGTAGGATAGGTTCAAAATATGAGCCCGGATCTCCTGCACTCACTTGGTGTGTGCGGGAGTGCTTCCACTCAAGTTTTCACACGTCTCACTTCACATGCCATCCCTGTTCACATGTGTGGGACTTGTTACACGGTCATAAGTTTTTTCTGCTCACATACAAACAGAGGCACGCTTTGCAAAACTCCAACCCTTGACTAAGATTGAAAAACAAATGGATTTTATTGCAATGTCTTCTGGCTGAGGTATGAAGAAGAAATTGAGGTTTGCGATCGTCTATTAATGGTGTCTGCCTAGTCAAGGTTGGGTTTGCAAAATATTTCCCTTATTTTGTTCTATCTTGAACTTTCCTTCTTTCACTTTTTCTCTATTTTAACTTAAAAATATATATATATATATATATATATATATATATATATATAAACAAAGTGGTCAAGAAATTTTCTCTTTTTTTTTGTTTTTTTTAATTCTATGTCATTTTTGAAATAACCAATGAAATGCACTTTCCTAATAACCTAAATAATCTCTTCTCCTAAAATTTATCTTAAACTACCTCCCCCATTTTCTCCAAAACTATCTCTAATTCCTATTTATCTCCACAATTATCTCTAATTTAGTAGAGAGTTTTTCCCCTAAATTATCTATAATTTCTATTTATCTTCTCCCCTACTTTTTATCTATATCTATCTAAAGAAAGTTTGGATTAAAAAATTTAAGAATTATTTAAATATTCTACCAAAATTATATAATAAGCTTAAAATACTTATTAAAAACACAAAAAATAATTTTATATTCTTACAACAGTCAAACGGAGCTTAAGGCTCCATTTTGATAAGTTTTTTACCCATGTTCTTTTATTTATCAGATAAATAAACTAATGATCATTTTATTTATGAAAATCCATTATTAAAAAGGGCATTTTTGTCTCATTTAAGTATTGGCAACTTTCCCCTATATGGGAATTACCCACCTTGAATATGGGTATCACTTACTCGAGTAAATGATGCCAAGGAAAATAAATTTTCCCTAATCCCTACATAAATCTAAAACAAAAAAGAATATAGGTTTCTTGGTCAATTGGATTCACAATATCATTGACCAACTTTTCCTCCTCTCAAAATCCAAAAAAAAAAAAAAAGAACGCCCCTTAAAGGTGGATTTTTCCAAGGTTTGAAGTTTATTAAGACTATGCCAACAACATCAGAATCATTATATAAAAACTATAAAGATCTTATTCTCAATCAAGAAATCTCACTTCCGAGAAGAAACAAGAGAGACCGAGGCCCAATGTGAGGAAACCAGATTAATGGGCGGACTAGTTAAAATTCTTATTATCTTAGTGAATCAAAAACAGGAACTTTTAAATTGAGAGTCTGGATCTCCTACCAACAAAACACATTCAAACCCCCTACCAACATGATATGACACCACACATCTCATTCATGGCAGGCCCCACTTTTATGCTAGGTCCCAATCTCATGATGAAATGTGTAATGTTAAATGAAGTTGGTAGGGGGATGGAACTTGTTTTGTTGGTAGGAGATCCCAACTCTTAAATTGAATCTATGTGTAGATTGTAATATCCATTCCATTGGCGAGACTCGATCTACTCCTCACAGAGCATGCCTTACACTGATCTTGCAGGGACATCCCACCATGCTGTGGGAACATCTCCCATGAATAATAGCATATAAGTATAGGAGTTGTTCCCCATACATGGTGGGATGTGCCTATAGGGCCGGTGTGAGGATCAGATCCAGTCTCTCCATTGGCTTTTTGAGAATTTATCAGTCAATGTAGTCTCTCTCATTGCAATAGCAAAAACTTGTGTTTTTAAAATCAAACCAGACCAACAATCAAACTAGAAAAATCGGGAACCGGTCACCTCACTGATTCCATTTCACTCCAAAACCACTTTTTTCCAAAAACCGTTGATTTGGTCAGCAAACCGTTGACCAGTGTGGTCAACCCAAACGACGACTTTTGATCGTTTGTTTTTTTATTTTTATCAAAATGAGTCATCCATTCAGACCAGATGGTTGGACCATTCAACCTAGGAACCGGTCCCATAATGGTTCCTTGTCCGGTCTGATTTTAAAAACCTTGGTAAAAATAAACTAAAGTCATAACCGGTGAAAAGCAGTAACAACAGGACACAGCAGTTCGATTTGCCTCATTTTTCTACAAAATCTCAACTATTTACAATATACTTAGGTTGTGTTTGGTTGCAATGCCAAAGAAAATATGTACTCTATATAATTACCTTCTTTTCGGTTCATAAATGCAAACATGATTCACATTTTTAAATCGTTTTTGCACTCATCTTGTTTGTTTGAAATCGACGCAAAGAATAGGCCCTATCATTAATGCTCCAATTCCTTAAAGTTTGGTCAAAAAGCAAAATTGTATCCAAAAAATAGATCTAATAATATTGTCTCCTCATAATACAAAAATATAAGAAAATACATTTTTAATATCTTAATCATTACTTTTTTAGATGTTAAATAAATGCGAACCAAAGTACATAAATACCCTGATTTGACATTTATATCACAAACAAATGGAGACTTATGTATTTTCCTACTTCAGCATAAATACACGCTTTCATGAAAATTCTACATAATAAACTATCAGTCCTCTCTTATGCCGCGTTTTGTCACTGCTAAGCTTCGTCTCCTTGCTTCTCTACTTCTGTCCATCTCTTTCTATTATTTATCATGCTTTCTACTATTTCTCATGAAATCAACAACTAGAAGCTTAGAAAACTTCAGCTTCCAGCCCACCTCCAACCAACAACTAGAAGCTTAGAAAAAGGATTAAGATCACTTCGGCTGTTTGGAAAAAAACAGTGTGGCCATCAAGATATCTTAACTAATTCAGGTCCTCATTTGTTTTTTGAATTAAAAAAAAAATTGAGTGCAAATGCTGTTTTACCCTCACTAATGATTAGATGTCATTTAAAGCATGTTAACAAAACAGCCAAAGTCTTTCCTTGTTGCCGCTGTTATTGGTGGTAGCAGTAGCTCCATAGGCCCTTGCCCTAGAATAATCCACTTATGGGGGCAATTCGTATTCTCATGTTGTTCTCATATCTTGTCTAAAGTTTCCATAATTTGGATGTGTAGGCATAACAAGAATAATTAACCGTGCCAAATTTTCAAGCACGAATATGATGTATTTATTACACTCATAATACAATAATTCAAATTGGCATGATTAACCTATTTTATTCTATATTAATAAATAACATGTGTGACTTGAATTAACATGAAACCAATATGATTAACCTATTTAATTAAATAATAAATAAATTTAAATAGTAAAATAAGCCTTCAATCATTCATTATCTAGACAAACTTATAAAAACATTTAATGTCATCTTTATCTATCATAATAGTTTTTCATTACATGATCTAATACTTGAAATTAACATATTTATTGATCTTATTAAACAGGTCAATACAATTTAGTCACGAATATGAGTAAAGTAAAACCAAAACCCACTAATTTTGCGTTATGTTCAAATATCATATCAAATATTCTCAGCCTTAAATCCACCATGCTCATCCCTATTTTCGGACATGAACAACAACCATCCCTCCTCATGCACCTCACCTCATTTGTGTTTTCAAATTAAGGTGAAGGGACAAACGTAAAAACAAAGGTGCATAGTATTTTACCAATTTGTCCAAGACAATCTAGGTAGAAGTGTGGGGATGGCGTGATGACAAATGATGTAGGTGCACATGGCTCAGACCAATAGCACGCATGTGGCAGATGGCAGCGCTCAGGGCAGACCCAATGAGAGCGTGTACAGAATAGAAGTCGACATGCGACACAGAGCCAATGGTGCGGCCGCATGCAGCGGCCTCAGATGGCCACACTTCTCAAAACTAGACCACATCCTGACCGTCCGAGCCCACCTACCTCCAGGCAGCCTCGAGTATAAATAAAGGGCAAACCACAATCTCAAGGTAAACATCTAGACTCTAGACTAGTAAGAGATTTATTGCTTCTTGTGTGACCTTGTCTGAGCACTCCTAACTCAAGCCTCGTCCACCTCCTATTACCCCGTATTAACTTGACCATCAGAGTCTCCTCCTCGGATTAGCACCCAGGGCCTCTGATGTCTTCTCTCTCCTCGCAGGTCTGACCTACCAGCCCTCAGCCATGACAGACCTCGAACTCCTCAGCCAGCCCTTGGCTCGAAAGCGAAATTGCCTTGTTGCCCTCAGCCCATCTTAAGTCGCAACAGAAATAATATTGATAATCTATATTTTGCATTTCAAAGCTTCTTGGGGATAGTAACTCCAGGATCGATGAATTTCTTGTTGTTCATGATGGCCTTAATCTTTGCTTTATCCAAAGACAAATTGAATGCCGACGTTTTGAGTGATAACAAGTACCTCATTGGCATTCTTCTTGGTAAGATGGAATACTCTTGGCAGATCCACCTACATATTTTGAGAAAATAAGAAGTACAGGTATTAAACATTCTTTTTGCCATATATACTTGAAAATTGTCTTTAGTTTGAAAGAAAAGGTAAGAAAAAGGAAGAAAAATATAAGGAACTTTTCTTTTAAACCAAAGACAACTTTAAAGTATAGCTGGAAGCTTTTCATCTGGGCCATTATGGCCGGAAGCTGTTCCCTTCGTACAAACCTTTGTCACTACTTTGTAAAGGTTACTTGAAGACTTCCTGTTGCACATTGTAGGATATATAATGGCCTTTGTTCTTTTTTAAGCCTTGCAATGGGTTAGGTGGATTACCTCCTCCTACAGCTAAAACCTCTACACATTCTGAGGGCATCTAATTACATATTACCCAATATTCAACTGGATGCGCCATACACACATTTTTGCTTGCAATAGATGGAGGCTTGACTTAAGGATTAAAAAGAAAAACTCTATAAACCTTATACAAATAGACAGTTTTGGTGAAATCATAGCTAAAACATAAGAAACTACAAGAGGCAATCTAAAAAAATTAATGAAAAGAAAAAAAGATATTACTAGAAAGAGTTATATTCTTCTCCTTGATTTTCTTTTTCTCTTGGGTCGGAATGATATAATGGACAAGGCCCCGCGGCAAACCCATATGGCATACAAAGCCCAGTACTGATCCATACTATCCTTACTTAAACTCAGCGGCCCTAGAATGAGTGCTCTGAATTCGGTTTTCTCCATKTGCTATCAGCTATGACCTATCTCCCTGGTCGTCTATATGTTCATCTCGGAAAAGATCCGTCTGTTTGAAAATAAAATAAAACAGCTTGACCAGTTTTAGAGTTTCCTGCGCGTGGCAAGTTATTTATCCCAGTAGAGTCACATCAAAATCTGCGCGGCCGATTATGTTACAAAAATTTTGCTTGTTTGCTTATGGTGGAATTGTCGTTAGAGCTTTCCTTTGTTTCGTCCTAGATAGGGGGTGTAAGTAGATCGAATTTGAATTGAATAAGGTAATATTCAAATCTGAATTCGATATCGGACAGATATTAAAAATTAATATTTGAATTCAAATTTAGTTAAATATTCAAATATTTGATACGATTTGAATTTGACCAATTAATTATTTTAAGTAATTATTAAATATATAAAATAAAATATATTTTATTTATATAAAGTATATAAATACATAAACTATTATGTAATTTAATTATTATATAAAACATTTAAATATTTTATATATTATATATAAAAATTAAATAATCGGTCGAATTTAGGTATTTATCGAATCGAATCAGGTCATATCTGAATTCGACCGATTAGATATTCAAATTATCTAGTTTCGATTCAATTGTATTGAACCTTGAATTTGAAATCGGATTTTCGAATACTATTGACACCCCTAATTGTAGAATAAGTTGTTCATCTATGCAGTTTAATTGTTTTCTTATCTCAATCACATTAATTAATTAGGGCATCCAAGTAAACCAAAATCAAGGTCGGTTGTCAAAAGGATTTGGTTGATAAGTTTGAAATTTTGGTGATGTTGATACAAAAGGTTGGAAGATTCCAATAGTAAAGGAATTGTTCCAATGGTATTAATACTTGTTTAGAATTAAAAAAAAAAAAATCAACGACTAATTTTGTTATATAGTTGAACAACTACTTCTCATTCTCTAACGAGAGTCCGAGATCATAAACCTTTCTTTAGTACAATATGGATGGCACCCCATTTTGAGACAACACTTTTGAGAAAGATTTCGAGAAATAAGTGACTGACCACCCCTTTGTGCATGTTTTAGAATGGAAGAGGGTTTCTGGAAGGTCCCTCATGTCAACTATCGAGAAAATGTAAAGGACCTTTTTGGATTAGAATGGTATTTTTGCAAAAATCATCCAATTTACTAATTAACCGCATATCTCTGACATGGAGTTTTCTCAAGATTTCAAAATGTAAGGGTGAATTTAAGAAAATTGAAAAAAAAAAAAAAAGAGCGAATGGAAGTTCTAGATAATAACTTTTTTTTTCAAAACAGTCAAACTTTTTTAAACAATATGCCATGTGCCCAAAGCATATTCTCGATGTATGACTGTAAGGTTGGTGTAAAGTATGTTTTTTTTATTTTATTTTATTTTGGTATTCGGTGTGAAGTATGATGTGTGAGGAATAATCCCGATTCACTCAAAACAAATCTCATGTATGGCTTATGCACAGAACACTTATCAGTGAAATAATTATATAATAAAATTTTCAAGGTTATAGTGGTGTACTGAACTTCAATTTCAACTATTAAGAGATTCCTCCACAACCACCACCCACAAGTTTATACTATTCACTCTTTCAAACTATAGAAGAAAGGCTAGAGAAAAGATCAGGAGCTGATATTGTTAACAAGACTTGATTGAACTGAGTAAGAGCTCTAAAACCTAATATACCCTTTAACTTTGATTTACAGGAACAATTCTAACTGAAAAATAAAAAAGGAGACAAAGAAGAAAATAAACTATAAGGTATCCCTTCCACCCTCAGCCCTACAATTGTCACACAACTTGTTAATAAAACATGTAGAGAGAGAGAGAGCCTCAACCCTTCTTCAGCCACACTTGGCCTATAGGATTAGATGAAGTGAAACAGAAAAAAGGGTAGATATGTTGATATCGTTTCTCTCACTGCCAAGATTGTAGAAAGCCCATAGGGCCATAGCAGTTAGCTCCCCTACTACAGATGTAGATAATGGGATTTATAAGAAGAATTAACAAAGCATAAAAGAAAAAATAATGGACAACAAAAAGACGAAATGCAAACGGTACACGAAACTTGGGAGTTGATCCATTGGCCATTGGCGGGTGGCTTCTTTCTGTTAGTTCTAGAGCTTCCATTGATTACACCCGCTTGATTCTTAACTCACAAAACCTTTTCTTCTTCCTATACAGAAAACCATAACCATCATATAAGAAGCTAAGGAACTTTTTTTTTGCTCTTATGGTACACCGTTTGTTCTAAGACTGGCCAAAGGAACTTCAATTTCCATGGTGACTATTGTAATAGGGGAAGAAATGCAAAGGAGAAGGAAAAAAAAACTTGAAAAAAATTAATACCTAAGGTTGACCTCCTATATCTTAGTGATGGTTGTTGGTCGCCACCTATTGGAAGGAAGAGAGAAAGAGAGGAGATAACCCTGCTGAGTGCTAAGCGAGAGAGTGGGAAATATACACTACAAGAAAAATGGATTAAGCCGGTAGTCTCAAAACCGCCGGCGATCATATGCCCGCCGCCTTTCCTTCCTGGTCAGAGAAGGTTCAAAATTATCAAAAGCGGCAGTTTTTCCATGACCGCCGGCTTAGCCTGGTCGTCCAAACCGCTGCCTTTGGTTTTATCAATAGCTGGTTGGCAGGCATTGACTGCCGCCTTAGGTCTTATCTGGCCCATACTTCTATCTTGCTCATAGCAAGCTGGTGGATACTGACCGCCAGTATAGACCTTTTTCTTTTTAAAATATAAATATGCCTACTTATTAGAAATCCTATGACAATTGATACATGAAAACTTTGATAAATAAAAAACAACTAGTAATTTAAGGATTAATTATATTAAAAAAGTCCAAAACAAATTGTTCAAATACAATTTCCAATTGACATACTAACATTACAAGAACCTTCAAAACTTTCAAATTTTCCAATAATATCCAATTGACATATTAACGATACACGCCACAGATGGTAATGATACTTGTCTTCCTTTCGGACATTCAACTTTGGGTTTCTTGAATTTCCTCACCGCACCTTGCAAGTCAAGCATTAGAATGTTAGCAACACTTTTCATTCAATAGATGTGTTAAAGTCAGCAAGCATTGAATATGGTAAGAAGAAACGAAGAGTGCTCTCCAAAGACTGCACTTGCTATATTTGATAAAGCCAATTAAGTAACAATAGCAAGGCAAGCCGGTCTTTCTGCAATCACAGAATTGAGATAATTCTCTATAGACTCTATTGGAACAACCTTGAACTCCAAATTCTGTGTTGGATCAATCCCAATTGCTCAATTGATTCAAAATAATCAATAAAAAGGTTATTACAAACAAAAAATATGTATACTAACTTCGAATCTCCTACTTATATTCAAGCCAACATAAGATGCTAGGGTTTCACAAACCATGGAACTGAGGAGGAAAAGGAGAAGATGCAATCACTCCTACCAGCCTTTCCAGATGCTTCTAGCAGGAGAAGAAATGGTGTAGACATTTCAGCCACAAGCTTCTAGCAGTCACAAAGAAAGGTCATTAATCTCTAGCTAGATTTAGCCCTTTTCCTTTTCCAAAGCTAGGCCTTGAGCTGGAGTTGTCTCCTAAGTCCTAACTATGTGGTTTGAAAAGAAATGGTGTTGACATTTCAGCCACAAGCTTCTAGCAGTCACAAAGAAAGGTCATTAATCTCTAGCTAGATTTAGCCCTTTTCCTTTTCCAAAGCTAGGCCCTGAGCTGGAGTTGTCTCCTAAGTCCTAACTATGTGGTTTGAAAGTTCAGATCTAAAATCTGCATGTACTCTCATTTGCAACCAGTGACCATCTTAGCCTGCACATAAACTCCTCTTGTTGTGGTCCAGGAAGATATGACAAAGCACCACCCCAAAAGTTGAATATTTTTATGTATGGCTCATTTTTAAATAAAAAACAATTGAAAGAAAAAAAAATGTTTGTGGTTGCTTCCTTCATAAAGTACCTAACACCTTGGTCCAACTTTCCTTAGCTTTCCTTTCAAAAAAGATAATTCTAACCAAAACTGAAAATAGATAGTAGGAGATATTTTTTTATCACTAAAACAAAAATGGCTTAAATCAAACATTGCTCCAAATGGCATGCAATTACTTAGCAGATTATGGATAATGTATTGAAGAAGACATTTTAGTGAAAAAACATGAGGTTTCAGTTTTTCACAAATAATTTCCAACTTAAGAGAAGAAATTCTGCAGAGCCCAAATGCATGCAACTATTCTACATATTTGGATTCTCAGTAACAGAGGAAAACCAGCTAATATATTTGGATTCTCAGTACTAATTCCTCCAACTATTCTACATTTCCATTGCAAACAGAGAGAGAAATAAAAAACAGACGTCATGAAGGAACAAGGAATACATTTAAGACACATCTGACTGGATGGCAAAGTAACTAAATCAAATCCTCCACTGTCTTTAGCTCCGGAAAAATGCAAAATCAAAGAGACCAAATGCATGCAACATAAAAAAATCTAATCTCTGCTATGAAACTAACAAAAAGCTTCGTAGTTGATTCAGAGTGAACACCACCACCATGAAAGTGGTGGCTTGAAGTGTTGGACAGATTATTTAATATTTTCTAATTTCTAATAAAACGCAAAATCCATAGGGGAAACACCCTAGCATAGTTTATGAGATTTGTCTCCGCATGGTTCAATATATAGAAGCATCTAAAGATTCAAAACATCCTGTCAAAACAAGAATTAAGATAAAAGACTAACATCCTATTGAATAACTTTATTCGTGAGATGTAATATATCTTCCTCTTAACCATCCAAATAGAAGTAGAAGATACAATATTCTCAATAATTCAAGTCAATGTACAGACAAAAGTAAGGTTTACCATTTACACATCATCTAATAAGAGCTTTTTCCAATGCATAGCCTGGATTATAACAAAGTTCAATTAAATAGGTGAAAAGACATGAAGCTCCATCCATGATGGGTTTCAAAATTGTAGTTCACTCCTTGGTAGAACATTGCAAGTTAGACATACTGACAGCTGCTTACAACTTAACTTTAAGAATAGAAGAGAAAAACAATTTAGCAAATAAAGAATAAAAAAATAAACCACATAAAACAGGTAAATTGAAAGGTATCAGTGTCCATCTTCTCTGCCAGCTGGGAGCCAAACTTTGGAAGTCCAGTTTTCAGTTCCTCAATTGAAACAATACCATCATTATCAGTGTCCATCTTCTTAAACATTTCTTTGATGTCTTCAACTTCTTCAAAGGATAAATGATCAGCAATAACCTATTTGAAAGCCCATTTTAGTAATAAATTCTTGGACAAATTCCTATATCAAAGAAATAGAAAATAAATAGGGTAGTGCTACAGGTCAACCAACCCTTAATGCTTTCTTCTTGAATCTGTTCATCATAGAAAACTGCTTAAGCCTTGACTTGACAACATCTCCAAGAGGAACAATTGGAGATTTTTAGCATTTTGGAGCCAAGGATGTTCTGTAAGGGAGGAAGAATGTAGGCATCAGATCCTAATTGTCTAGTGTTCAATAATTCATCTAAATGTCAGAAGTCTGATCATCATACTAAGCAGAATGATAAACCAAGTGCAAACTGTAAGTTATTTATGCCGATTCAATAAGCAGAATGATAACCTTGCGGGTAGTATTCATGAAATCAACTGGCTCAGCAAAACAGAACCAGGAAAGAACATAATAACAAAAACAATCAACTGCAAGTATATTCAAATCAACGATACTCTTGTGAGTCCATAACAAAATGATAACGGCACAAGTAAGAGTAATACTATCAGATGAAAATTGCTCTTGATGGAAATGAAACCCAAGTCTATGCTGTCACCACTCATATATCAACACAGATTTCTGCATGTGTTCTCTTCAAAGGATGTACATTTCTTTAGAAAGTCTATATAGACACCCTCCCATTCTAACATGGGCATAGAGATTACCTTCCATTTGGGCAAGACAGTTTTAGGCATGGAACCTATGGCCTGGCTGCCTGGAGCATCATAACCCATGAGAAATATGCCCCGGATGTTTTCCAAATAACCAAATCAGTACATGTAAGTTTGTAAGGAGTGTTCCTTAAGTGTAGCTTTTTCAAGAAGTTGATTTGCATTATTACATGTTCAACATGTACAGTAACACAAAAGTAGGAAAATACCAAGCACTTGCTTTGCAGTCAACCAAAGTTTTGGGTCAGGCTCTAACATCTGTCGAACCAAATTCTTTGCACTCTCTGAAACATTTGACCCTGGATCCCGTTTAAAATCTATAAGACCACGAAGAATGGCCTGCGCAACCCCTTGCTCAAACTGCATTTTATAAGAGAGCATGTCAACTTGTAGAAAAAGATCTAAATATTAAGTTCAAAATACAATTAAGACAGGAAGATTAATTGTTCTAAATATCAATCAGATTCCAACATGTGTCCAAGAGTTTGACTGGGCAAGACAAGAAAACGTGGATTTACGGCATGTCTATGGAAACGTAAATACTATTAAAATTGTTTGAACTTAACAACAATGGACGAACCCTCCATCGTTAAACCCTAACAAAGAAGAAAAAACACCCACAAAAACCCTCAAAAATCAGTTTCAGGTTAGCTAAAAATTTCAATGACAAAGAAGAGATCGATTGAGATGAAATTTGCGGGTGGACAAAGAGGCTGGAACAGAAACCATCCATCCCAGCCTAGACTTTTTCCGTGGTACCCATTGCATTTCCAACAGTCGCAGTTTCAAATCTCTTATCAGGTGAGCGGCCTTTCTTCTCCCGAAACTCTGCTTGAACTCAAACGTCTTCTTCCCTGTTGTGTGTTCTCTGGTGAGAAGATGGTGTTATTAGCTCTTGGTGCAGAGGCATCGCCACTGCCTCCACCACCTGCAAAATATGAGAGAACGATGATCAGAAAACTTAAAACACTAATCAATGGTGAAGTGGAAGAAGTACAAAGAAAAGGGTACAACCCCAACCAGAAAGCCTAATAAAACAATAACTTAGATCTTGGAAGATGAAGCAGGGGAGAATCGTGTGAAAAACCATCAAAACCCTAATTGTAAACCCTGCAAAGAAAAAGAGTTAGGGTTTCTTGTCATGATTTCGAGAGGTACAGAGAGGGAGAGGGACTCAAATGAGAGAGAGAGAGAGAGAGAGAGAGAAGAGGGAAGCAGGGGAGAAAGACGTGTGAAGAGAAGGCCCATCCCCCTCCACTGTTTTCACACGAAAAAAATGATGCAGAGGACTATTTGTGGAGACCTGCAACGAAAGTACTCTTCTTCGTCAAAAATAGTCTTCTCTCCATCAAAAGTACTTCGCTTCTACATCTCAGTGGAGTTTTGCCTCAGTCAAAGGAGCAGAATCCACGCAGGAAGGAGAGCTTTCCTTTTTCCTTTTGGTGTTCTGCTATTGAAGGAGAACAACGCAAAAAGAGTATCAATCGAATCTAATGGGGTTCATGCTGGCTCAATTCCGATTCAATGTTATAAACGACGGAAAGACCACCGCCGCCCAATATACTCACGTGAATGTTTTGGTTTTCTACTTATTCTTCTTGTAGTGACGAAACTCTTGACAAATTCGAAATAATGTAACAACAAAGTTGATAAGAGACGCCGTTTTCAATAATCTGCACATTTTAATGCTTTCTCCATTTGCGCGAACGGTTCAAGTATAGAGCGTACCCTCGCTGAAGTACAAACAAACAAAACAGGACGTATAGAAATATAGATGGATTCGTAGGGAGGCCAACCATTAAGGTGAATAGAGGGGAGGCATAATATTTACATAAAAATCTAGATTACTACGAAGACTTTCTAAACCATAAAAGGGGCCAACCATTAAGCTCCCCCCTGTATAGAATACATCTCTCGAGAGAAGTAAAGACAACAACGTACGAATTTATCGAAATGCTCCGAATCCAATCTTCTATGATTTTTGTTTGTTCGGAATTGCGCCTCAATATGTCCGGAATACCTTTTAAATACAAATTTTACCCTTTTTAAACCGGTTTAATATTAAAGGGATTTTTAGGATGACTGGGTGCTGCCGCCATCACCATAACACACACAAGCCGGGACTTCTAAATTCGATTAAGACTGGGTGTCGCTATCGCAGTATCGCAGTAATAGAAGTTGGGGACGACTTCAAATCTATTCTAAATACATTGAATGGACCAATAAAACATATTAGATTAGACCAATTCGGTCCAAAATATTTATTAGATTGGATTGGACCTAATCCATTTATAATAAATTTATAGATGTTAATAAATTAGGTTTGGATTGAAACCAATCTAAATCAAAACAAATTTGAACAGATTAGATGGTCCAAACATTGAATTGGAGCGGTCCAAAATATTCATTGGACTTGGTCCATTTATATTATAATAGACTCACATTAGACTGGATCGGATTGGACCAAATCCAATCCAATTGACACTCCTAGATGTGCATATGGGACGTTTTTGAGGCGCATTCTATGGGGGGCGGCAGATGTGAACTCGCTGCCGACTTCCAAATTCCAAATTCCATATCCCCTCCGCCAACACGCCATATTAAACAGATCGAGCTAGTGAAAGACATCGTGAAGGAATTCGAGCTATTCTATAACAAATTGATGAACACGAAGCTGGTGGTCGTGATTTCGATGGTATTGTGGGAACAACAGCACTTGGCGTAGATAGCAAAGGGAGTGCAGAGGTTGATGGGGGCAAATAACGTGAGGATCAACACCGTGTTGGATCCGTTGCTCGTTGCAGGGTGCCTTTTCAAGTTAAGGACTTCAAGATTTAGAAGATAGTTGGCTCTTGTGACGTAAGATTTCGTATCAGGCTTGAAGGTCTTGCATATTCTATGGTGCCTTTTCAAGTTAAGCTCAGTTTGGAAGGAATATAAATGCAAATATGTATGTATTTTGTATTATTTTATATGTATTTATATTGTATATATTTGTATTTGTACTCCTTTCAAACTGAGCCTTAAGGAGTTCAAAATGTATGTATACATGTTTTTTTTTTCTTGTGAGCATGGTTTTTAAAAACAAACTGGTTAGGGGTCCGGTTACCGGTTTAAATAGTCTGACCATTCGACCCGAACGGCTAGACTGTTTTGACAAAAAAATTAAAAAATTGGAAAACGGTCAAAACCATTTGAACAGTTTGAACGATTAACCGGCCGGTTCAGCGGTTTGCTGACCAAAATCAATGGTTTTGAGGGAAAAATCGGTTTTGGAGGAAAACGGAACCGGTCAGATGACTGATTCCCAATTTTTCCAGTCCGACTGTCCGGTCCAATCCGGTTTTGAAAACAGTGCTTGTGAGCGAAAGAGAAGCCCAAACTCGGAGATAGGAAAATAGAGTTTGTTCTTAAATGTAAACTCAAATTGTTTAATAAGAAATTAGTTATTGAAATTTGACGTCAGAAAAAAAAAAAAAAAGATTTGCAAGCTTTGTGGGAATACGATTCAAATATGTATCTGAATTTGTTCTTGTTTTTTACTTGAGCTTTTTCTCCAGAGTAATTTTGCAAAGATGGTTTCTTCTATTTTCTTGTTAAATTCTGCATATTATTCTATTATATTTAATAGGGGTATTAGAAAAATGTAGCCTAATCTCATCATCATGAACAAAGGTCACAAAGAATCCGATTTCCATATTCAATGGGTGTATAATAAACAAAGATTGAAAAAGAGAATGGCTACTCTGCCAATTAATCTGGGCCAGTAAATCTGCGGCACTATGTCTCTGGCCGGAGTTGTCAAAGGTGGAACCACCGATTTTGTTCCGATGATCCGGCGCTATGTCTCTGTCCGGGCGTTGTGTCTCTGCTTGACTGTAGAAGTTGGCGCTAATGGCGCTGCTCCCCCAAGAACTCTGCCTCTGGCATTAAGTATGCCATCTTCTGAAGTGAAAGTCTAAACAGGATATTCGTGGGCGTCGACCTAGGTGAGCACGGACAAGAACTCTTCTTGGGTCATAAAGTTTGGGGCTTCATAGCTATGCCCCCTAGTTCCAGTAACAAGATTTTGTACTGGAACAAATAAGGAGATTTTTTTTATGCGGATACAGAGAATACATTACGGGTAAACCAAGGGTTTAAAAGAGGTAATTTCTCTCCAGCAACAACTGAACACACTGGGACTTCTCTCCGGTAATGATTTCCAAGATGGAGTCGTCGGGGGCGAACGCTGCAACTTCGAACAGGACCTCTGGCGTTTGTTGTTAACAGAGGTTCTCGGTCTAAATCAATGGGGGTTTAAAAGGGGTAATTTCGACATTTAAAAAAAATCATTTTCTCTCTTCTACGGACCGCTAGGGTATTTGTGCCATTTCACTTGTCCGTTAACGGTTTGACCAAATTGATTGTTTTTGAAAGTTTGAGTACTGCAATGATACATTTCAATCGATTACGACACTATCCCCAAAGGGTATTAAGGTGAAATTTTACACACTTGTAGGGGATTGTATGGATACAATTTATTCTCCTATCATACTACACTGCTTTCCACATCATGGTTTTCAAAATCGGAATGGATTGGAAAAACCAGAAACCAGTCAAGTCCGTTTTTTCCAAAAACTGAATTTTCCCCTAAATCATTGATTTTGGTCAGTGAACTGCTGAATCGGGTGGTTAACTATTTGTATGATTTTGATCATTTTTTATTTTTAAATTTTTTTGTCAGAACGGACCAAGCATTCGGTTTGAGCGGTCTGACTGTTCGACCCGATAACTGGACCCTTGACCAGTTCGGTATCCGGGTTGGTTTTAAAAATCATGCTCCACATATTAACATTTGACATGACTCAATGATCAATACTGTAATTCCCATGGTTTTTAAAACTGGACCGTAGTGAAAAAACCAGGAACCAGTCAAGTGACTGGTTCCATTTTACCCCAAAATCATTATTTTGTCAAAAATTATTGATTTGGTCAGTAAACTGTTTACTTGGACAATCAAACCATTTGAATTGTCTAACGGTTTTAACCATTTTTTATTTTTTTGTCAAAATAGGCTATTTATTCGATTTGAACTATAGCAATTTCTTTATACTTTATACTCTAGTATTGTCACTGCATGTTTTTAATTTTTGAAACCAGTATATTAAAATGAAACAAGAAACTAATCCTAAAAAAATACATGGAGAAGGGAATCTTAATATTTCCGTTTTTAACAATTGAGAAATATGGAAGTTTCTTTTTTTTATTTGGTATAGAATTAGAGAAGCTTTTAACCTTTAATAATTGTGAAAGAGAAGGGATCATTCCTTAATTGCCTCTTCAAAAAGCATAAAATTCTAATCAAATCCCACAAACCCGTCCACTCATTCCAGACTACCCTACCCAGTCCTGTCGGCCACAGCTCGATCTATGGGATTCGGGCTGGAGGGTTCATCTCCCATGATTGGGCCTTAAAACGGTCCTACCTCCCAAAACTTGGATCCCGACCCACCATCAAACGTTAGTCATGCATTCATTGACCAAAAAGGATTGAAAGTATAGACTCTATAGAGAGAGAGAGAGCAAGCAAAGCGGCTACTTTGTGGGCAGCAGTATAAATGCTTAGTGGCAGGAAGCTAACCTGAATATTGGAGAATTTCCTAGGTACTCATCTGCATGTGGCAATAGAAATAGTGAATAATCTGCCACATGTACGGTGGAGAATGGCGATTGGCCTCCAAGTTCTTGGTAATGAGTAGCTTCAGCTTCAGCATGAATTTGGTATATCAAAAATTCAAAATGTGATGGACCTCTCTTAGACCACATGAAATTACATATTCCCTCTAAAACTCCTTCAATAGACTACGTACTAACAACTTTCATTGTTGAGTCATTCCATGATTCATGCAAAATCATAAGAAAAGCTACCACTTTATTTTTTTATATTACAAGTTTCGAACTATTTGCCTCAAAGATAGGAGTGGAATCGAGCAGAGTTGAGTTGAGCTGAATAATTGGTTATTTGGGCTCCGTTCATTGAAATAGTCGTACACTCGAATTTGAGTTCAGCTCGATTTAAAGTTTGTAAGTTCGAATTCGACTATAAGTTAATTTAAAAAAAAATAAAAATATTATATATATATATAAGTATTTTTCTTTTATTTTACATACAATCAAATAAGAATTATAAAATTTATTTATTATATATATAATACAAATATACATATAAAAAAGTGTTTTTATTTTATATACAAAAAATAAAAATTATTTACTATTATACATAAAAAATAAAAACGATACATAAAAAAATATTATTATATATAATAAAAAATATTTATTTATATATATTTATATATTTATATGTATGTATGTATGTATATAAAAATTATTTATTTATTATACTAGGTTCACGAGTCGAGCTTCATTGGGCTTGAACTCGACTCGATTAACAAACAAGCCTATACTTCAGGCTTGAGCTCATCTCGAAACTCAGTTTAAACCAAATTTGAATAGCTCATGAGAAGCTCGACTCATAACCACCAAAGAGAACCTGCAATTGGTTCAATGTTGATATATTATCACAAATTATTATATAAATTACATATATACTTTTTCAAACATAAACATTCTATGGACATCAATTAAAATTATAATAATATATAAATATAGTATTAACATTTCTGTCTAAAATGATTTCGAGTTTGATCTGATCTCTAAAATTCAGAAAACCATATCAAACC